AATGAGCTATCAAAGGTAATTTCTGCATACGCATCTCCAGACTCATTAGCTATCAGGCTATCAGTTGTGTTCAGTGCCTCTCTTAGGTCCATTCTAGTACTGAAAAGTGCATCTTAATTTTCCGGTCTTTGGCAGTGGTAAAGTCAGTGTGTTTCTAGTTTTAATATATCATTCCCCCTGCTACTGGAAGCCCAAAGATTATTAATGCAGATGGCTTCAAAAAAGATTGCACACATTTATTTGTTTAAAGTTGACCATCTTTTGCCTGATTAAGCACTACACGTGCTGTGTGCGATGTTGTTGGGACTTGATCACCTTCTCTTTACCTATTTGCTTGTTTCCTGCCTCCTCCTATTTTCTCCCACCAGCAAACGCAAAGACTCAGAGCCCCGGATCAAGTGCTTGCTGAATAATGCTGAGATCACACCTCACCACCCCAAGGATCCTGTGGAGATGCGGCGCATCAACTTCCAGACACCAGGTAACAAGCTTCATGCCACCCACCCTATTTTCCTAGACAGTTGCATGCTTCTGACTCCAGTTCATCCCCCTACAGGGTTCTGTTTGCGAAGACACTTATGTGTAATTTCACACATGTACAGCAAAATCACCAGGTGAGATACTGGTGGTATAATTCAGCTTTGAGATGATGTGTGCTTTATGTAAACAAACTGACAAACAGGCTCTTAATCCATTTTATTCAAGATGGGCTTGAAAGTCTGAAATAGCTGGATAAGGCTTCTGGTGGGCAAATGGATCACCATAGCTCGTCATCATCTTTGGAGGCTATCATAATGCTGAATAAATTACACTACATAGTGGAATCTGCACATTTCTATGACTTTGCTCAGTTTGTAGAATAGACAGAATTTAGCTTTGCTTAGCAGACAGTGAACATAGTTGACTAATTAGCTGAAATATTTTAAATTGATTTAAAACAACGGCCCTGTTTAAATTTATTTAAAACGGTAGCCCTCTTAAAAGGCTTTTAACTCATTTTTAACACATGCAGTTACTTAAAAAAAATGCAGGTGGAAAGGATTTTAGAAGAAGCCTTCTTCCTTGTATGCAGTTATGTGAATGAGATAAAAAGGGAAAGAGTAAAATGAGAATGCTTCTTGTCATATTTTCTTACTGTAACATTTCATCAAGCAACTGCGGACACCATCTGAGAAGCGGCATTTCCACTTCTGCATTAAAGGAGGAGGAACTGCTTCTTTGTACCTCTACATGGCCCTTCTAAAGCAAAAGCGACATGCAGAATGTTCCCACACAAATAGCAGGTTGCGAGTGGTGTGTACACAGGTGTTTTGGCTGGTGCTTGGAAGACGATGGGGCAGTTTAGTTCCAGGCACAAGTAGTTTAGGGCAGGGAAGGGGGGAAAAGTGGAAGATTCTAACACCCAAAGAGACGGGTAGTAACTGGGTTGGTGGGATATACTACCCTGGATGCTGCGGAGGACAGGAGGAGAGCGAATGCAGCTTCGCCTTATTCAGCCTGTGCAGTGGCTGTTTTGTCTGAAACTCCGAATAACCCAAGTGTTCCAGTAAACTTTTTGGAGTGCGGTGGTTTGTTCTGGTTTCAAAACAAAGCTTCCTTCCGTTTTGTGGACCACCCCCTCCCACTGCTAAGTAAGTACACCCTTTCTTTCTTCCTCTCTTTCAACTTTCGTCTGCTGTTCTTACTTCCTTCCCCACAAGTGGAAATTTAAGCCAGTGGAATGTCAGAGGTTTATGGTTAGATAACCTGAGTGCATCAAAGGTGCAGTCCCGTTGCCGGGCAGGTATCGCCCTGCACAAAGACCTCGGTGACTGCACCCCATCTGCTGCCTGGGCCAGATCTTTTCCCAGAGCCCAGCATTATTTCCCAAGCTGCTGCTTTTTACTCCTGGCAGCCTGACAAAGCAGCTCATACCGCCAGTGCCCAACAAGGCTGCAGATGATTCCAGCGCCGTTTGTTTTGCTCTTCCACTCCCCAGTGTGCAGAAGGAAAATCTGTGTTCCTTTGTCCTTCAAGGCTGCAAGAAGATCTCTTCTGCAGCTGATATATCCCTCTCAGAGGGGAGGTTACTCCACAACCACTGGTTGCAAAGCTGTTTCTTCATAAATACCTTCTGCCAGTGTGAAATGTAGCCTCGGGTGTTTAACTCTTTCTTTCTGTTCTTTCTCCCTCCCCTCCCCCTTTTTTTTAATCGACATTTCTAGATGAGGAACTTAGATTTAGATAAAAGGATTTTGGTTTGTTGCTACCATGGAAGATTATTTATTTTTGGCTTCTGTAATCCAGAATGAGAGGTTGAGTGCAGGAGTTTGACTGTAGATTCATTCATTTATATTTTTAAGGCAATCATTTTAGCCACTTTGGATCACAAAGAAATATTCACAAGTATTTAAGCAGGATTGGCCAAAACTCAGATGCCAGGAGGGAAGGTAAAGGTGTCTCTTTCTCTCTGGCAGAACTTAAAAAGGCAGTGCCTAAATACGGGGAGGAGAAGCACCATGAAGCTCATGTTTGCAAAGGAGAATTCCACTTTCTTTACTGCAGGATTGGAGTAATCATAATTAAAAGAATGACGTTATTTTAATGTTTTAAAAATATGATTTTGGGTGACTAAATAATCCTTTTTAATCTGAACTAAATACCATTTAATGATTTTGGTTACTGCACGTGCCAGCCCTGGGTTCAATGTGGCAGCAGCACCTGGGAACAAATGTATCTGGTTTGCAGAGATAGAGGATTTCAGTCTGCAAGCAAATGCTTTTTTGCTGCCCCAAATCTTATAACTGGACCTGGCACCCAAATGCTTAAAACACCACGCTTCTTGCCTGAAGAGGGTGGGATCTTCAGAAGATTGTTAAGTGGCAGTTGCTGGGGTTCAGTTATCATCCACAGCACCCCCTTGATCAAGGCACTCTATTATCTCCAAACTATTTTATCTCACTGACTTTGTTTTATCTCCACGTGTGTCTCTGGAGATGGAGGGGAAAAGGTCAAAACCTTCTGAATGGTTCAGGAAAATTGGCCAAGTTCTGCCAATATATTCATGACTAGTTGAGTCCGAGGGAAATTTACTTCTCTGTATTTTTCACTGAGAGCCTGTCTGGCTAGCTGACAGGGTGGTATGTATTCTCTCTCTCTGTTTAGCAAAATAGCCCGGCTTTGTGGGTTGTTATAAAGGAGCACCCACCTGTGTAGCACTTCATGACTGAAGCAAATTGATTTAAGCTCTGAATTTGCAATCAAAATTTCAAGTTTGGGGAAAAAGAAGTGATGCACAAGGTTGGAGTGAAGCTGGTGCTGTCAGGGGGATAGTATGTGAGTGTGGCTATTACACACAATGTCCAGATGAACAGTCCCAAGCACTACCTTTAAAGGTGTTAAGGATTTTTGTCTGCTTTTGTTCTGTGCAAGAAGACAGACGCAAGTGGGGTGTTAGCAAAAGGAATCCACTGATTTTAATTATATCAGTTTTTATTTTAATCATATTGATTCATGGTTTATATTCTGAATTTCTCTAATTATTGTAAGCCACCTTGGGCTTACAAACAGAAAGGCAGGCTACAGATTTAGCAATAAATAACAATAAAGAGAAACAGCAGGATTTTTCATAACAAAGCAGAATGACTGCACAATAAAGGCCTCTCTGGGTCTTAAGAGGTAGGATAGGTCCATTAACCTGGGAATAACAGTGAGAAGGCAAGGGTGTGTGTTTTTTTTTGAAATTAGGAAAAGAGGTAGCATCTTGGATGTCTCTTAAAAAATGGTTCCAGGCATATGAAAAGGACTTTTACAGTACAATCGTATATGTATCTGTTTAAATTCCATTGAGTTTATTGGAACATATTCTCTTGTAAATGAATATACAGTTGCAGCTTAGTACTGGTTCTGGAATGGAGAGAATCCACCATTTTTATTTGTATGTTTGATTTATGTGTCCTCCAATTGTTTTGATATTTTCAGTAAATATTTGCATAACTATTCTATTGACTTTGTATTTGTTTTCAGTTATTCTGTGAGAGTCTGGATTTTTTTTACATGCATACTTCTGTACACTCACTTGCATACATATGTGGTATATATATTTCTGTATGTATTTGTGCATAATCTTCATGTATACTAAGGGGTACTAGATCAACTTCTCTATCTCAGAATGTGGGCAAACCAGAGAGGAATGCACCTTTCTAAAGCAAATCTATCTTAAAGTAAACATTAACACATCAGTACATTTTGGCTGCTGTGGAGGAGGGAGGAAAAGGGGGGAGGAAGTGCCCTCCAAGGTTGTTTGCTCAATGTCTCTCTATTTTAATAACAAGATAGAAATACAAACATCTTCATGTTTATTAAAAAGACCTTATACCATTGTGCCAGTATGCATCAAAAACATAAAACATCAGCCTAAAAGAAAGCAAGGAAAACATTTCCTGCATGCCATCTTACTCCTGAAGAAAAAATCCTTTCATTTCCTCTTAAATTTTGTGTTGCCTTTTTTTGTTACTGTTGTTGGTTTTTTTTTTTTCTTGGTTGAGTAGCATTTTTTTTTATACAAGTGTATATATATTTTTGTTTTTCTTTTTGTTTTACTGTTTTCTGCAGATTCTGGCCTCAGCAGTCCTCTCAATGACCCTGAGTTTGACCTTGAAAGTTAGTTCCTGTGTGTTTTCGTTCCTCTCTGTTTCATTGGTTGTATTCCTTTTCCAACCACCCCCTGAAAAATTTGGCTTCCCTTCTGTTGCTCTTCCTACCCTCGCATTCTTTCTCTCTCTCTCTTTCTCTGCGCCTCTGTGTCTTCTGCCATTTCCCTTCTGCGTCTCGCGCCATTTGTTTTGTCTAACTGTGCTTCCAGTTTTACAGTTTTCAAGCCAAAATGCCTTTTGCAAAACGACCACAGCCAGATTTGTGTCTGAATCTTGGTGTGTGCTTATATGTGTCTATTAAAATACTATAAGTCAATGTGCATACAATTAGAGGAACAATGATAGAATACTAATACTATTTCACATTTATAAAGTACTTCAGAGCCAGCTCCAGATGCTAGGAAATTCAGCCTTCACCATTATCAGCATGCTAGGTTCAGATTTTGGAAACCCACATCCACTTGCTAGCCTTCCCCTCCATACATATTTCATTACACCTTGGTTATGTTTACACAACACTGTTAACCAGGACCGTTAAAGATAGCAGTGGCATTCACACAACACTGTAAAACTTGTCTATTGATAATCTTGGTTAGTTTTTGGTTTGCTTTGTTTTTTATTGTTTAGCAGGTGGTGCAAAGCTAGCCTGTTTATGGTTCCGTGCATTCTGCAAAGCCAGCAAACAGGTTAGTTCAGAAGTAGGTTAGGAGTATTATGTGAATGCAGCCCTTCATAGACACTCTCACCTGGAAAAGAAAAAGAATGGTAGGTTAGGTTTTATTTCTCTGGATTTGTATTGATTTGTAGGGATTTTCACTGCTGGAAAAAAGTAATGGCCAAGTCAGAG